ATATATATATATATATATATATATATATATATATATATATATATATATATATATATATATATATATATATATATATATATATATATATATATATATATATATATATATATATATATATATATATATATATATATATATATATATATATATATATATATATATATATATATATATATATATATATATATATATATATATATATATATATATATATATATATATATATATATATATATATATATATATATATATATATATATATATATATATATATATATATATATATATATATATATATATATATATATATATATATATATATTGCTCAAAATAAATAAATAAATAAAGTGAATACTTGTAGTTACACTGTTTTTTTTAGCAGTATCCCTCACTGGCCATTGTTATTAGGTACACCTAACTAGTACCGGCTTGGACCCCCTTTTGGCATAGACTGAACAAGGTACTAGAAATATTCCTTAGGATTTTGGTCCATATCGACATGATAGCATCACACAGTTGCTGCAGATTTGTCAGCTGCACATCCATGGTGCGAATGTCTCGTTTTACCACATCCCAAAGGTGTTCTAATAGATCTGGTGACTGTGGAGGCCATTTGAGTACAGTAAACTCATTGTCATGTTCAAGAAACCAGTCTGAGATGATTCTTGCTTTATGACATGGTGCGTTATCTTGCTGAAAGTAGCCATCAGAAGGTACACTGTAAAGGGATGGACATTGTTAGCAAATAGTACACAGGTAGGCTGTTTTGTTGACAAGATGCTCAATTGGTACTAATGGGCCAAAAGTGCCACGAAAACATTCCCCACACCATGACACAGCCACCACCAGCCTGAACTGTTGATACAAGGCAGGATGGATCCATGCTCTCATGTTGATGAGGGCAAATTCTGACCCTACCATCCCAATGTCGCAGCAGAAATTGAGACTCATCAGACCAGGCAATGTTTTTTTCAGTCTTCTATTGTCCAATTTTGGGGAGCCTGTGTGAATTATAGCCTCAGTTTCCTGCTCTTAGCTGACAGGAGTGGCACTCGGTGTGGTCTTCTGCTGCTGTAGCCCATCCCCCTCAAGGTTGGACATGTTGTGTGTACAGAGATGCTCTTCTGCATACCTCTGTTGTGACGAGTGGTTATTTGAGTTACTGGTTCCTTTCTATCAGCTCAAACCAGTCTGGCCATTCTCCTCTGACCTCTGGCATCAACAAGGCATTTGCGCCCACAGAACTGCCGCTTACTGGATATTTTCTCTTTTTCTGACCATTCTCTGTAAACCCTAAAAATGGTTGTGCATGAAAATCCCAGTAGTTCACCAATTTCTGAAATAGTTAGACCAGCCTGTCTGCCACCAACAATCAAGCCATGTTCAAAGTCACTTGAATCCCCTTTCTTCCCCATTCTGATGTTCGGTTTGAACTGCAGCAGTTTATCCTGACCATGTCTACATGCCTAAATGCTACGAGTTACTGCCATGTGATTGGCTGATTAGAAATGTTTGCAGTTGGACAGGTGTACCTAATAAAGCGGCTGGTGAGTATATTTAGTATTTTATTGTAATTTTGAGGTGAAATATGAATCTGACACGAGCTTTAATGATATACACAAAAAGTAAGTAAAACAATTTTTAAAAAGCCAACAGAAAAGGGGTAGTTTTTCAGTATCAAGTTAAGTTTGTTCTCATGATGTGACAGTTTAGAAAAGGGAGCAAGCCATTACTTCACAAAAAAGCTTTACAAATATTTTAAATAATCAGCATCAATCCCTCTTCCAAAACATCAACATACCAGAACGTTAAAACACCAAAGAACCAGTGGCAACACTTTATAATAAGCCTCATTTTAAATAATAACACTACTCAATGCTAAACAGATCATCAGTTCATGTAAATTAGTCAGTTAATTGCTATATTCTTATACACACCCACAAATATATATCAACTGCTGATCTGCAGAGCATTACAAAATATATTTTGCTTACAGCTGCATATTATAAAGTGTTACCGACTGATCTTACCGCAGTAGAATCCACCACAACAGTTTGTGCACGTCGTGTTTTCCTCCGTAACTGTGCATATATACAGTATATATAAAGGTTATATGAGCTCTTTTTTTCTGAATCAGTAAAGTTTCACCATTACGCAGGTTGTGTTGTGCTGAACTCACCTCCAGGATTCCCTTCTTCTTGCCTTCTCTGTCATCACTGTCTGTACGGCCTGTCAGGATGAAGTAACAGTGTTTGCACACCTTGCTAATCTTGTTTCCATCATATTCCAGAGTAGCTTTGTAGTCGGAGCACTTCCAGCAAACCACCTGAAGGAGATGGATCTTTCAGCACACTTCAGAACTGTAAAACTTCAGTATGTTTTTTGAATATTTTTCTGGTTTGTTTGTGCTTACGTATCCACAGGCCCGACAGTGATGCCGCCTGCGTGTGATGGCGTTAAACCCTTCTTTGCACTTCATGCACATGGTCACTTCATTGTCTCGGATCCAGCGAGGGGCTCTTTTACCCAGCTCTGATATATTAAGATCCTACAATGAAATATAGACAGGATAAATGTGTGAGAATTAAAAAAGTAAAATAAATAAAAATACAGAATACACTTTATCCTTTACAAAAACTATATACAGTGCATCCGGAAAGTAAAAAAAAGTTGTTTTTTGTTATATCCTTATTGATGTAATGTATTAATGTATTAAATTCCTTTATTTACTCAAAATTCGACACACAATACCCCACAATGACAATGTGAAAAATTTTTTGAAATAGTTGCAAATTTATGAAAAAAAAAGCTGAAAAATCACATGTACATATGTATTCACAGCCTTTGCTCAATACTTTGTTGATGCACCTTTGGCATAAACAAGCTTGGCACACCTGTCTAGGAATTTTTGCCCATTCCTCTTTGCAATACTTCTCAAACTCTATCAAGTTGGATGGGAAGCGACAGTGTACAGCCATTTTCAGATCTCTCTAGAGATGTTCAATAGGATTTAGGTCTGGGCTCTGGCTGGGCCACTCAAGGACATTCACTGAGTTGTTATAAAGCCACTCCATTGATATTTTGGAGGTGTGCTTTGGGTCATTGTCCTTCTGGAAGATGAACCCCGTGTCCCCAGTCTGACCTCAAGAGTTTTCATTCAGGATGTCTCTGTACACTGCTGCATTCATCTTTCCCTCTATCCTGACTAGTCTTCCAGTTCCTGCTGCTAAAAACATCCCCACAGCATGATGCTGCCGCCACCATGCTTTACTGTAGGGATGGTAATAGCCTGGTGATGAGCGGTGCCTGGATTTCTCCAATCATAACGCCTGGCATTCACTCCATAGAGATCGATTTTAGTCTCATGAGATGCCTTTTGACAAATTCCAGGCAGGGAGAGGCTTCTGTCTGGTCATCCTAACATACACGCCTGATTGATGGATTGCTGCACAGATGGTTGTCCTTCTGTAAGGTTCTCCTCTCTCCACAGAACACTGGAGCTCAAACAGAGTGACCATCGGGTTATTAATCACGTCCCTGACTAAGGTCTTTCCCGCCTGATCACTCAGCTTAGATGGCTGGCCAGCTCTAGGAAGAGTCCTGGTGGTTTTAAACATCTTCCACTTACGGATGATGGAGGCCACTGTGGTCATGGGAACTTCAGAGCAGCAGAAATGTTTCTGTAACCTTCCCCAGCCTTGTGCCTCGAGACGATCCTGTCTCGGAGGTCTACAGACAATTCCTTTGTGCTTTGACATGCACTGTCAACCCTGGGACCTTATATGGACAGGTGAATGCATTTTCAAATAATTTCCAATCAACTGGATTTACTAAAGGTGAACTCCAATCAAGCTGGTGAAACATCTCAAGAATGATCAGTGGAAATAAAATGTACCTGAGCTCAATTTAGAGCTTTACGGCAAAGGCTGTGAATATTTATGTACATGTGATTTTTAGGGTTTTTTATTTTTAATAAATTTGCAACAATTAAAAAAAATCTTTTTTCACATTGTCATTATGGGTTATTGTGTGTAGAATGTTGGGGAAATCAATGAATTTAATCCATTTTGAAATAAGGCTGTAACATTAAAAAAATGTGGAAAAAGAAGAAGCCCTATGAATACTTTCCAGATGCACTGTGTGAGCTGACACTTAAGTATGTGAATGAGAAAACCCAGTTGATTTAATAACTTTAAAATAAATTAATATTATTTAGTTAATTATTACTTTCAATCATCAAAAGCCATCTACAAATCTGAATCATTTTAATTTTTTTGGATTTTTGTATTGTTTAAAAATAACGAATTATTGATTTAAACTTATATGATTTAAATACATTTTATAGTCATACATTTCATATATTTAAATAACAGACATCTAATATATTAAATTAATAGCATATTAAATTAAATTGCATTTGAATATTTTATTTATTCATAATAAAATAATAATTAACCTAACTAAATAACTGTAAGTGAATTGATAATTAAAAAACAATTTAAGTAATGACTGAAATAACTGAATGATTCAATTATTTAAATACTTAAATATTTGAATACACAACAGGTCAATGCATGACAAATCCTTTCTGTATAATGCATATTAAATATATAAATATTCTCTTATTATCCTTCAGTCGTGTTGTCCAGCTGAATATTATAACTCTAATAAGGCATACTGACCGAAGCTTCCTCGGTATCCTTAATTGCTGATTTAAAGGTCTCATTCTTCTGGAGGGAGATGTCTATTGTTTCAGTGAATGCCTGAAACACACAGGAGATCAGTTTTAAAATTGGACTATCAGTATTAACGCACATTCAGGTAAACCATTATCATTATAATCACCCTAATCTTACCTTTATCCAGCTTTCTTTATCAAGTTTAGAGCTGTAATGAAACAACAACACCATTAAAACAAGCAGTACTTTGCAATGTGTTTATATTTCATCTTTGCCCCATGATGCTTTGCATGAACAATGGGAGTAACTTCCATTATAGTGTAAACAATATCAGTATTTTCAGTATGTTAGTCTTAAGGATATCGATGCTCCAAAACAGTGACACAATTTGCAATAAAGAGATTTAAACATCCAAAGTTAGTAACTTCTGCCTTAAACAATCTACTTGTTTTGACATCTCCTCATACTTCAGTATCTCATCAAATCTTCGGACCAATCAAATGCTCTCTAGTATCTGACATAATTGGCAGGGCTCCCTGCTAAAAAAACTGCATAAACCAGCAGTTTTCTTCTTCATCTTAATAGTTTTTTTTTTTTTAATTGGCGGTTGGCATACAACTTTGAGGTGCATTTCTGCCACCTACTGGTTAGGAGTGTAAATCAAAAGAGAAAAGTGAAAATTGTTCTTTTTTATTTAGATTTTATTATATAACCCAGTCTCTCTAAGAAACATTAGTAGCACCTTTAACTTTTTATCTCTTACTCCACTCCTTAAACTGCTATTACAATTTAGATTTACATTATTTTATTCAATCTCCATTATTATGTCATTTCGTTCCCTCCTATAATGGACATTTCTTTACAATATGCTCTATTGTTTCCTCTTCATTACAATGATTATAGTTTCCACTTGGATGTCTCCCTATTTTAAACAGCCCACTATTCAGAGCAGTGTTTCCAAACCTTAACCTCGATATAACAGTTTCCTCACATCTATTTCTCCCTACTGTTCTGTTTTTCCCCACCATTCTCTGGATCATGTAATACCGTCTTCCTGTTCTCTCTTCTTCCCGTTTCTTTTGCCATCTCTCCCTCACATATTGTCGAATTATAGTCTTCATTTCATTTTTACTAGGTCTTAAAAACATGTCAATATCTGATTTTTTATTGGCCTCCTTCACACATTCATCTGCTTGTTCATTCCCTAAAATTTAACGTGCTGGAACCCAAATAAAAGCTAAAATGGTGTCTATCTGTTGAATTCTATATATTTTCTGTAAAGTTCAATCAGGCTGGTAAACCAGCAGTCTAAGCTGGTTGGCTGTTTACACGTCCTTCACTGCGGACAGTCTGACAGAGGGAACACACAGTCTCATGCAGGTAAGTTGTGGTTTTAACACCAGAATCAGACAATTGAACTTAATTATATCCTTTTACAAGAGGTCAACCCTGTCTTTCCAGGCTTCATGTCTTGCGAAACTGAAGCCGAACACTCTTGTTTTGGGATACAAGACGGACTGGCAGGAATGTAAACCGGAGAGATTACAGGACTACT